CGGTATCAACACCGGCTTCATAACAAATAATGTTTCAAATGCGCTGCTATTGAACGAGCATGGTTGATCACAGGGTGCGGTCGCCCTTAGGGAGCTTTGATATGTTATGAAACCAATGTACAGTAATTTACCATAGGGATAAATTTATTTATAATACTTGTGAAATGTAGTTTCGGTCTCATCTATAAGTTTTCCTGTTTTACAGATTGTTTTTCTTTCAAACAAAAATAGAGCGTCGTGCATTATCTGACAATAGAATAGATACCCCGAACTCTTTGCTTGGACAAATTTCGGGGAATGATTAACCTGCATGGACGGATGTCCTGATAAATATCTATCGTTTAGCTACACAGCTGAAGTATTTCTGATGAGTTCGGTACACATGTCACTGCGTATACCTATATCTCAATTCTTGACAAAATATCATATTACGATTTAATTTAATCATAGGCCGTGGGCTACGTATGACCCACATACTAAACATGATTTTGAATGTTAACAAGAAAAAAGTTAGGACGAACTTGTTGTTACAGCCTTTCAAAGTATGGTACTCTATATCGCGTTTTCGCCCGGTTTTCTCTTATGTAAGAGAATCTTAAGTAAGTAATTGGAATATCATTTATTTCTGTGAATGCACGGTCCCTGTTCATTTCAAGCCATTCATAGACGATTTGGTCGATTCGCATTTGGACATTTTCTGTAAATTGGAAACTTAAGTAGCTAAGTTATGTATGAATTAAATGTTAGTAAGTGAATTCGTCTTCTACCTTCGGTGGTGCCCCCTGCAAATTCACCTTAACTAGTAGTTGTACTAAGAATCTGAAACTCAACTTGAAATGGCAAAATTTGTCAAAATATCAAGCCTGCGTCCAAGAAATTGATTTGTATATTTGCTGAAATAAATAACATTTACATTATGATCAGGTTTTTTTGCACAGCTTTATGGTTGCCATCTTGAATATGTTACACATAGGTCCATTTCATTCAAAGTTCTGAAATCGACTCGAGCATTATACTGTGAACCTCTTATATGCATACAAAAGTGAGTGATATCAGAGTTGTCAAGAAATATTTTGTATGATTGTCCACAAGTAGATCAATAATCAGCCTACATCAAATTATGGTGTTTATATATGGTTTCCTATGGTATATAACACATCGAGGTCGGTGAATAACACACAGGATGACAAGCCAAATCCTGAGCATTCATCCAAGCGTTGTTCCGATGTAGCTAAGCCGAGAATGCAATATTGGGTATCCTACTCTGATATTATAAGAGTAAATTTGTTCCAAATTGTGCATACCTAGCCCACGGCCTATCAATCATCGGTTTCCATCTTAACCTGTTTATACATCATTTAGTTTCTTAAAGTTTCACATTTCTGACAGTAACACTTGCAACGTTAACGCAACGCATATATAACTTAGTATTTGTTTTGACGTCGTATTTTCGCGACTTTTTAGTCGGCCTTGACTGTTTCATGTTTCCGATTGATTTCCTCGTGAAATTAGAGCGGCCACGGGTGGCCCAGTCGTCCAAGGCGCAGGAATTCGCTGTGCAGAGTTGCGTCCCTTGGCCACGCCAGATACCTACATGTATGATTGTTAGAATCCTGGTTCGCCCCGATTGTTTCAAGGTTTGTCAGCGCCATACAAGTCGTGATATATAGCTTGAATACTGTTCAAAGTGGCGTTAAACACAACTCACTCACTCACAATATGAACCGCTTCTGTGGTTTAGTTGCAGAGCGTCCGCCCGGAGAGAGGAATGTTTGGGGTTCGATCCCCGGCTGCGTCACACCAAAGGACTTTAAAATATGGTATTTGTTGTTACCCTGCCTGGCGCTCAGCATTAAGGGGCTAAACAAGGACTAGTCGGCTCAGTACACTGTAACCTGAGTGGAGTATTCATGTTAAACTGTGGCATGGTATCTTAGTGGGCTACACGTCTCTGTATAAGTGCAATCATTTAGAACGCCTCACCTCACACACACTATGAGAGTTTTAATGTTAGAAACATATTACTGCGTGGATGTGACGTGCGGATATATTCAATATTTGTAAACCCAAAAAGGGACAGGTCGTTTACTACGCACACAAACACGCACACGAATACACACACGCACATACACGCGCGCGCACACACACACACACGCACACACACACACGCACACATGCCACCATGTAATAATGTAATTCATTATAATTAGTTTATGAAAGTTCACGTTGAAGTTTGGGTACTTGAACCATCCTTTCGTGTGTGGCGTAGAAATTATCTATACAGAGTTGCGCCCCTTGCCAGAATCTGCTGATCACGTGTTCGAATCCAGATTCGTCCTAATCCCAACTTTGTCAGCACTTTAAACATGGCTGCCGTTTTCACCAAAGTGATAAGATTACACACCTGTTAATATTCATGAAATGTTGTGATAACACGGAAATGTTATAAAAACATCCCTAAAACATTTCACGCAATGTTCCGGAAATGTTTTATACATGTTTTATTCACGTGAATTTATATGGGTCCAGAAACGTTTTCCGTAAACATTTGGTTATAACGTTTCAAAAATGTTTTTTGCGAAAGTTTCAGCAAATGTATTTGAAAACGTTTTATTCATGTGAAATTGTATGGTTCCGGAAACGTTTTAGCAAGATTGTCTGTACGCTCTAAACGTTTTTAAAATGTTTTGAAAACGAACCAGGGCGTCGGAAAAGCACAGTGTTTTGCTGCCAATGTTCAAATCGTGCACCAACTAACTGCTAACGAGAGATAAATGAGTATGACAAATAGTCAGACACCGTACGTACATGTTCTGCAGGAAATACAATGGCCGACATTGTGATCCATGCCATGTCTTCAACATTCATTCAACAAAGAACTTCAAGACATAGTTCTGTGGAGATTTTAGTATTTTTAGAAAACCTTTACACCTTTCGAAATTATTTATTTCTTCTTTTCTTCTTCTTTGGTTTTACCTTGATCCACTTTTCTGAAATATAAGCAGATAATGAATAGATCTAAAGCAGGTATTTAAGATATATAGTATAGATACATTCAACTGAAGAGACAATATTCAATTGCAGATAACGTTTTATCAGTATTCTAACAATAATATATAGTATATATATATATATATACAAGTGTTTGATGGAAACATATTTTAATATTCATTCACTGACATAGATGAATACTTGTGGTAACTATAAAACCATCAGGGATCACAAGTCTAAATTTTCTACACCTATCTCCTTGTTACAAAATCATTCGCGATCAAAAGTTTCATTTTAATAATCAACAAACGATAGCCAACTCACTGAATATGTAGTGTGATATCGTTTGACTACTGACTAGCGAGGGGTGGTCGGGTAGCCCAGTCGTTAAAGCGTTCGCTCGTCACGCCGAAGACCCGGGTTCGATTCCCGACATGGGTACAATGTGTGAAGCCCATTTCTGGTGTCCCCCGCCGTGATATTGCTGAAATATTGCTAAAAACATCGTAAAACCATACCCACTCACTCACTCACTGACTAGCGAACGACAACATGTCGCCAATTATCACAACACCCTGTTACAGCGCCCGATTCGTTTTAATTGGAAGGGAAACATATTTATCCGAAAATTATCAATCGATTCTTTCGGGGAAATAGTATAAGGAGACAGTGTAAGCACCTTGTTTCAATGTAACTTATATAAATACAAAATATTAGGCCAAAATAAAAAATCCAACAACCATATGATCGACTTTTAGTTCAGTCAGTTCGAATACACAAGAATGAGTCTCGCATTTTAATAACCTAATATTGTGCTTTAGACTTAATCAGTAGCCTACAGTCGACAGGAAAGTATTTCCATTGTTTTGACTGCTCCTCTTCGCAGTAGAACAGAAATCAACTCAAGATTTCCCATGGACTGAAATGAGTGAAATTGCTGATAGTTTCGAACGCAAATGCGGCCACATGATAGTGAGCGGCAAAGTACAAAGTTTCTAACCCAGATGACGAGTGACAATATATGACGTAATAGTGTGACGTCATTCTGACGTCATTTCACGAGGCAACAAAGCATTATGTCACAATATTTTAAAAACGTTTTCGAAACGCTTGTGTGATATTACTTTTTACAGACGTATTAAGAACATGTTAAAATCATTTATATTTGTGATCGGCATAATTCTTCAACATGGTGAAATACATGGTGATAACGTTTCGTGACATATGTTCTGGCATGACATTACTGCAACGTGTTGAAAATATTGTAATGACTTGTTATGAAATAGTTTCGCCCATGTTATAGTATAAAGTTCTTTAAAAAAACATTTAAACATATTTTAATAACATTTCATGAAACGTCTTGTCTGTTCTTTGCGTGAGTTCATTACTTCGTTATATTTAACATCTAAATACACCTGGTTTGGTTTGAGTGGGTGGGTGGTTCGATTCTGATGGTTGATGGCTTGGTGGCAGTTACGTTACGATATAAACGGAGGGTCAAAAGAAAGTGTAGAGAGTTTGCTATTTATCTATGGCTGGGTAATATTGTACAAAAATCTATTGGTTCCATGAATGAAGAGATTAGTAAGAAATAACTGTGCAACATATATGACTCTTTCCATGTTTGAAATATTGTACATTGCGGCAAAAAAGCCAATTTATTGATTTTCAAAGATGAGATGTCTAAGACACCCATAAAAAAGTTGGGTATTATGCGGAAAAAATATTTCATTGAATAATCATATTAAAAACATATAACCATGTAGAAGTATATTTTGAGTGCTGACTAAGCGCTAGCACAGTTGATTTTACTACATATAATTGCTAACCTAAGATATTTCCAACTGAAAATAAAACTGATAAAATGATGTTATAAAATCAACTGAGAGGTGTAGTTTCTTTTGCTCCTCACTGTATCAGCTTAATGAGGTATGCACGTTCAACACAATTACCGGGGTAAAAATACTGACACGAGATTTGGTTTCATTGTCCGTGTTTGACACTTTCAGCTGTTAGTAGCAGGAGGTCAACTAGATGAACTGGCGATCCTGGGCATATTTGTGAGTTATTAATTAGACAGTGTTTCTCAAAGTATTTGGACATCACATGATGTAATTCAATGATGTTACGATGATATTGTGTTATGTTAAGATTGAGCAGGTGAGTTAACCATAAATGGTGATGTTATGTCATGTCATTTCATTGTGTTGTTCTTGCGGTCTGTGAATACACGATCTGGTCCAGCCGGTGGTTGATTCTATTAAACTGTTCACACAATCCAGTAAAGTCGCCTCTTATTACAAATTGATGATCGCTGGTGACTTTCGAACTAAATGCTACTGAAATTACACATGACAAATGTTTTGAGAATACAAACGCCATGTTAATGTACGTAACCGATATCTGTACAGTCATTGGTAGAAACTCTCAGAAGACCTCTTCTGACCCTGGAGGAGGTAATGTTAAGTGTATGTATCACAGTTATACAATATAATGATAACAGTGTTTACAGTGGATTCGTTATTTTGTTTCGGAAATAACAGCAGTAATTATTTCTTCATCCTTAAGTGTCTCGTGAGTAGAAATATGTGCGATATTTAGACAGCCATTGTTGTGTTACAGGTTTCTTGCTGGCCTTACAAATTATATTTAATTGGTAATATATTTCCATACCTAATTTCGAATCGGTTTCCATTTCATCAAAAATACTCAGAATTAATGTTATAGTGGAAGCGCAACGCACAAGAACTGGGCAGCGAAACAAAACATATATATATATTTCAGGTCTTTGAAAGGCATTAAAAAGTGATACACACAAGGAAGATAATATATGGACGTCAACTTCTTTATTAAGAGGAACACAATGTTTCGGAGTATACACTTACTCCTTCATCATTCACCCGATGAAGCAGTAAGCATATAACCCGAAACGTTGTGTTCCTCATAATATAGAAGTTGATATCCATATATTCTCTTCCTTAAAACATCTTTCATCAAAATTATTCAGACTAGCGGGGGCGTATATGAGAATATATGCAGAATAATGTTTGCCATATTACTGCAGAAACTGAACCATCGAATTAAACACTGTTTGAAGAAATCGTTAGTTATGAGGGTAAATGACAGTATTATACTTTTAGATATAATCAGGAAGTTCACACCTATTAAGATCTCTGCTGCAAAAACTTCCGTGATTGTGTGAGGTTAACGCCGCACTGAACAGCATTTCAGTTATATTATGGCGTGTCAACGTATACCAGCGTTGGTTGTTGATCATGAAACCAAAGAGCACGAATATGTCGAGCACTTACATCCAACTGACACGCCTTACGTGATATACAAGAAAAGCTGTTGAAAGCGGCGTTAGGTGAGGTGAGGTGAAATTGGGTTTAACGTCGCGTCCAAGATTATTGCACTTATATAGCGACGTGCATGCACGTGTATGTGTGTGTGTGGCTGCTTGTACTAGTCCGGACTGATGCCGATTTATAGTGCTAGCTCACTGAGATACCATGCCGCAGTTTAACATGAATACCCCACGCAGACACAGTATACTGACTCCGAGCCGACCAGTCCTTGTTTTAGCCCCTTAATACCGAGCGCCAGACAGGGTAACAACAAGTACAATCTTTTAACGTCTTTTTGTATGACGCGGCCCGGGATCGAACCCTGGACCTTCCGCTCTCCGGGCGGACGCTCTACCACTAGACCACGGAGGCGGTCGAAAGCGGCGTTAAACCCTACTTACTCGCTGTGGGTGTCTACACAGCAGCAGGAAATCATTAAATCAGTATAACAATTACACATTTAAGAAAGCTGTGTATTTTAATATTCCCGATTATAGTGTAGTGTAATGCAGTGCACTGATACATGTTGAGCATAATCCACGATGAATGCTGTGATATATACTCTTTAAAAAAAAGTAGGGGATACACGGAAATAACTTAAAATTTCCAACATTGCAGAACAGAAAAGAACTTACACTCAGGCCGGGGTACTCGGCATATGAGGATATTTGTAAGAGAAAAAGTTGTATGAAAATAATGAACGAATACGGAACACATTGCGATTGGTAGTGAAGGATGACAGATGTTATGACCGCCAACGATCTTGAAGGAAGCTAGGGGTAAGATGGGAAATTTCAAGTAGACGTTTTTGGATCAGTAGTACATAACGATTTGTCAGTATTGAAATGTGGTCTAAATGGTGACATGTGTTTTATGACAAGGTAGACACAATTTAATGGATAACAACTTCATACAAATGCATGCAATTGTTGTTACTGTTCATCTTCCACCTACTACATATATTCTGTACAATGTCCCTCATTCAGTTTTGCTTGACAACGGTGTAAGGACCAATAGTCGCTTTTTACATTAATAAAGAAGTACTGTTGTTATCCATAAAATTTTGTCTACCTTGTCATCCATCCACTTCTAAGTAATGCCTAGCAAACAATTTATCTTAGTTGTTTAAGGAAGTAAAGTATTTGCACCAACACAGTACTAAAGTTGACTCAAGTACACACAACTAAAGAGTATCATACCCCGATGCCGTAGACCATTGCACGTGGGTTCAGTAACTGGTTTGTCCGGCTGAATTATTAACAGGCCGTGATGGAGCTAGAATATTGCTGACTGTGCTGTTAAGCAGCATTGAGTCACCCCCATTCTACACGAATATACACTATACATTTAATTAGTGGAAACCCGTTTATCTGCAGTTTTTGAATCAGAACGTCTGTAAAGCTAGATGTCAGAATATATTTCTGAATTAGAGTTATCATTCGTCACGATATGGCTGAAATATTGCCGATGTTACGTTAAATATTGACTCATTCACTCCTTGCATCCTTATCATCCTGACACCAGTGAGCAAGCAGTCATTACAAGAATCTGGATTACTTCCCAACCCAAACTTCAGTGACATGTTTGTGTTTGCAAGTGTGGATTGGTTTGGTTGGTTGGTTTGTTGTTTAACGCCGCGGTCTGTAAATAATCGAGTCTGGACCAGACAATCCAGTTATTGATATCATGAGCATCGTTCCACGCATTTGGGATCAATGACATGTTCGTATCAACCAAGTCAGCGAGCCTGATCACCCGAACCCGTTAGTCGCCTCTTACGACAAGCATAGTCGACTTCTACGGCAAGCATGGGTTACTGAAGACCTATTCTACCCCGGATCTTCACGGGTCGCATGTGTGGAAGTGTCATTAAAATGAATGATGAAAATGTTAACGAATAACTTGCTACTGCTCAGATGTCTTTACGCTTGTTTTATCAGATTGTTTAGAGATTGCAGACAAACAGAAACTACCAACTCCCGCTCTTGAATGAATATTCAGTGATGTTTAATTGTTAATATATCATCAAATGGAGTCAATACTTTGTCATAATTTATATACGTCTCGTCTGACTTATTGTCTTCTACTTACAAGCACTCCTTTCTGTCTATTGTATCAGAGATTTACAATCTATACTTAATACGTCCCACTCTCATTGTGTGAGTAAAAGATGTTTTAACCAAAACAACAATTTAAAAGACCCTCCAAGAGAACTGTTTGCCACTAGCTTGAACCTTTCGCCACCTTATTCAATTACCACTTTTCGTTGCGTTTGTTTCAGACAGGACGTTTGTCAGGTGAAACAGGCAAGATGATGAGACTTCAACAGCCTCGGAGTTTGGTGGCTATTATTGCACTGCTGACTGTGGTGGTGGCTTGCAGTACGTCACTGTCATTAAGGAAGAGGCTTGAATGTCATCGGGGATGTAACTGCAGTCTGTTCAAAAGAGAAAGCGTTGTCATGCGCTGTGGACTATTCAACTTAACAGGAAAGCCTTTACCAACGCCTCCAATACAGTCCAAAAATTTGAATACAAGCATTTATTTGGAGAACGGGACCATTCCTGCTCTCCTGCACAACACCTTATCGGAGTATTCTCACTACCGAATTGTCCTTCTCGGTCTGAAAAATAACACCATTCGAAACATACACAAGCATGCCTTCAGCAGGATGAGGTATTTGAAGACACTAGACCTGTCAGAGAACTTCATTGCCGAAAACATTCTCAAGGAATCGTTCTACGGAATAGCCATGACTCCGATCAAGGAACTGAATATTAGTTCTATGAATCTTACACATGTTTCTGATGATTTCTTTGAACATTTAGAAAATATTACAAACGTTAGGCTTACATTTCGCAACAACACCAGTGAGTTCCCGCGGGACGCTCTTCAGGGCTTGAGACACCTGACCAGCCTTGACTTTGGTGGAAATCGTTTGAAGGAGATACACCTGAGGAATGCCAGCTTTACCTCTCTTCAAACTCTTAGTTTTAATAACAATCACTTCTACGAATTTCCTAATCTGTGTAGTAGTAGTATTTTCCCTAACCTTAAACATCTATCTATTCAGTGGAATGGTATGAGATATTTAGATAGAAACTGTTACAGTTGTTTAACGAACCTCACTTATTTCTACTTAAATGGTAATCTATTTCCAGAACTAAAATCAAATCAGTTTTCGATGTTGCCATACATATACAAAATCACCTTGTCGTATGTTGGATGTGCAATGCACACTATAGAAAGAGCGGTGTTCAATAATTCGGCACTGAAACAAATATTCTTTCGTAAGAATCGTATTTGGTTCAGAGAAGCAGAAATAGACATGCGTGTCTTTGAAGGATGTCCTTCTTTGGAACTGTTGAACCTCAATGATAATGTTTTCCAAGTAACAACAGAAATCGAATTCAATACGCTGTTGGGAGATCTCACCAACCTCAAGACTTTAGTTATGGGGGGTAATGGCCTCCGATCTATACCACAAGTTATAACGAGGAAGTTAACAAGTATTACGAGTCTTGCTCTGTATCGGAACTCCATATCAGATTTGAAGCCAAATACGTTTGAAAATATGACAAAGTTGAAAAAACTATTCTTGGCAAATAATGAAATTTCAACAATTGATAAACAATCCCTTCCGAAAGATCTGAAACAATTTGAGATGTTTGGAAACCCCCTTTCCTGTACTTGTGATATGATGTGGTTTGTAGACTGGATGCGTAAAGACCCCGAAACATTTGGTTTTCATAAAACACCTCAAGATAAAGTTTTATATAACTGCTCCAGCCCCGTTATAGTCAAAGGGGTACAATTACTTGATTTGAAAATGTCAGAGATAAGTTGTCTGATGGATCAGGATGTAAAGATCATAACTCTTACCTTTAGTACTTTGCTCACAGTGTTTCTGGTGACAGGGGCAGTGATGTATCGTTACCGTTGGCACATCCGATACTTGATCTACATGGTCAGATACAGTCAACGACAGGAGGTGGACACCGCCGACTACGAATATGACGCGTTTGTGGCTTACTCTGCACCAGATCGTCACTGGGTCATACGGAATATGTTGCCTGTTCTGGAAGGCAAGGAAAACTTCAAACTCTGCGTGCATGACAGGGACTTTGAAGTAGGTAAATTAATCGTGGATAATATCGTTGATGCAATTGAAGCAAGCCGCAAAATTATCATTGTCCTCTCTAACAGTTTTGCTCAAAGTGACTGGTGCCTGTTTGAATTGAATCTCATCCAGCGTCACGTGCTGGAAAATGGACAGCGCCTCCTGGTGGTGGTGATGCTGGAGGAGATAGACACACGTCACATGACCAAAGCTATGAGAGCCATGTTGCAGACGACAACTTACCTGATGTGGGGCGAGGAAGAGTGTGCCAGAAAAGCCTTCTTCAACAGACTGAGGATGTTACTTCGCAGTTCAACCGGAAATGCAGGGAAAAGACGATTATCAGTTTAGTAGACAGCAATATTTAATACTGAATGTTCCATTTTGATTATCTTTGTTATAACTATCAGGATGTGCCTTTGGAGATCATTATCCCACAGGAGATGCATAATAGCTTTTTTATAAGACAAAGGAAAACCTTTGATATTTGTACATTTCTTCAAAGCCCCTCATTGACTGAGTAGAGTGAGTGAGTATGTTTTTACGTTACTTTCAGTAAAATTCCAGCATATGTTTCAATGAGTAACACCAGACATGGGCTGCACGGAATCCAACTCGAGACCTCGGCGTGACGAGCGAACGCTTAAACCAATAGATCTAGACTACCCCACCGTCCCTTTAGTAGACAAGAATATGTTTTACTGAATATGCAATCTACGTATCAGTATGACTACCTGAGATAATCATTTTTAATCTATTTGTGAGACACTGTACTCTATAATGAAGGTTAAATATCATCTCTCATGAAATAATTAGACACATTTATTTAGCCATGTACAATGGTCACGTATAACTGCAGAATAAAAATGTATATTAACATTTGGATATGCCTGTATGTTCCTTCGATGTAGAAATGATCACAACGGAGTCTGCATTTTTCAGTTTCATGTTTTTAAGTTCGATGTTTTGTACAAGTCACAAATTAAACTACTGATATGGTACCGAACTGAACATCATCAGCTCTTATGTTTAACAGCTTCAAGATACTGTTGTTATTTAGGTACATTGTATGGGATGTGTGTATTTCTAAAACGGTTGTCAGACATCCCATATGTTAGACGACTCAATCATCAGAGAGACCAGTCAAGTGTGACCTGTGACTGCCTGGTCTTACCTACTGATTAATGAACTGCTCCAACAGTGGGCAGAGTAAGCTACTCCAACTCGTTAAGTGATACAGATTAACCAGATTATGAAGAGTAAGCTACTCCAACTCGTTGAGTGATACAGATTAACCAGACTATGATTGTGTATATAAAGTCGCGTCTGATATGCGTGTGTTTTATTAGCTAAGATATAAAGTAGTTTCTTCAATGATATAGAAAATAGGAAGCACAGTGAAGATAATTAAAAACATTTTAGCCGTTCAGTTTGTTTGCATTATTTTCATTAAATAGATTACACTTCTCCACAATCTAAGTATAATCTCACATGTACTATAGGTACTGTACTATACTACATGAAGTCTAAGTCAGTAAGGTGTCACCACCATGGCTGGTAAACGCAGAGTTGAGTACGTTGAGCCTGAGAGAGGAACACCACAAGTATTCCTTGATGGGTTCACCTATTCTAAGAATCGAACAAGAGGCGTTCTGTCCATATACATGTGCTTTGTACCATTACCGCGGTTAGTATTGTGGTTTTTTTAGCAACTCGGCAATGTTCCAGCTATAGGACGGCCCATCTGTAAATAGCCGAGTCTTGACCAAACAATCCAGTCATTGCCATCATCATCATCGATATACGCAATTTGGATACGATGACATGCATCAACCACTTCAGTAAGCCTTACCATCCGTCCCGTTAGTAACTTCTTACAAGCATGAATTACTCAAAACCAATTTTAACCCGGAATTTCACGGGTCTGTAATGTTTTGACTGATCACCGGATGACATTATCACGAGGTATATCGATAGTTGAAAATGACTATGGACAAGACAAGAGTATGGTCTCGTGGTCCAGAGTGCAATATAACATCCCTTATGTTTATTTACGTGTATGATTTTATACTGAATACATGCTTAAGGAACGCATCAACAGATCTTATGATATCAAAACTTTGGAATTTAACATATTCCATATGGCGAGTGGGTTAATAATACAGTAAACTACGGTTATAACGAACTCAAAGGGACTACTAACTTTAGTTCGTTTAACCGTAATTCGTTATAAGCATATATACAGTATAACTACAGCAAATAGTCGGGACTAAAAAGTTAGTTCGTTATATCCGTTAGTTCGTTATAAGCGTGTTCGTTATAACCGTAGTTTACTGTAGTAATAACATCGCAATTAGATAAATATTTGTATCTTAACATTGAATACTTTTTGCAAGCGAACACAGCATGCCATTTAGGCCTGTGAAAACACGTTCCAACAACTTGCCACAATGGCCAGTACAGAACCCATCTAATTTCGACAAATGAGTAAGGGACAAGTCAGTTAATATAGAGGAGGTTGGCCTGATGGAATAAGGGGATGGTCAAAAAACAAAAAACACATATCTGTGGAGGGACATGACAAAATTATCATTTTATAATAAAATATAAAGTACTTTTACAATTTATCTGTTTAGGGAGGGTCACGATCTATACAATCCTGCCGTCCCGGATAACGCGACAATCTCTTCCATCCTGCAGTCCATGACTACGTAACAATATATACAATCCTGCCGCCAAGGACAACGTCATAATCTACACCACCCTACAATCCAGGACAACGCCACAATATATACGGCGGGGGACACCAAAAATGTACTTCACACATTTTGCCCATGTGGGGAATCGAACCCAGGACTTTAGCGTGACGAGCGAACGCTTTAACCACTTGGCTACCCACCCCAATTTGGCACATTGGGTTGTTCCGTTCCTGGGCAATCATTATGAGCAGTGTTTCCGTCATGACGTTGACTTATGCCCTCTTCCTGACATTGTCACGTGTTGGTGAATCTGAAGTACCGGGTCTGTTTAAAGGGATGTAAATATAACTGACTCACGCTTACTGTTTGTCCCGTGATGTAACTTTCACACTTGGATTGTTTCCTTGTTTTTGTCTATTGATACATACCGGCCTTTATTGTGTTCAAGTATGGTGACACATTTTGAAAGTCATTTTGTATGTTTTTATTTCCTTATAATCACCTGTAATAGTGTAGTATCACTTATTAAAGGAATAAATTCATATTCACATGTGTCACTTGTTATATTATTAATGAAACCAGTCTGGCTTCTTCTTTTTTTTTTTTCTTTCTTTTTTTTGGGGGGGTGGGCGGGCTGGGGGGAGGGTCAAAACCTCAGGTCGGTAGGACGAAAAAAATCATTTTAAATTCCAAGGGTGAATACAGTCAAGTCTCGTTAATCAGACACTCGTTAATCCGACACTAATAATGGGAACCGATTAAATCAGTGCTATTTAGACCCGTTAATCCGACGGTCTCGACTCCGACACACCTAATTTGCAACGAATTACCGAAATCACTCATTAAATCAGTCTCGTTAATCCGACACAGAGATGAGCGTACTCCGTGGTCATCTGCCCGCGAGTACACAGCCCCGTGTTTTGATGAGAGACGAGTCGGCTTGTAGCTGCATATTACAATGGCTGCAGAGATAAACTTGCTATCAGTTGAGGCAGCGTTTCTTTTTTTTTAAATGTGAATGTTCCATGCGAGAAAGATAAGGCTAACAAAAGGAAGGTAATCGGCGCGTCACTTTAAATGTGTCAGTCACGTTTATTGACATTACAAAAGACCCGTAAAGAATCCGGGATAGAATAGGTCTTCAGCAACCCATGTTTGCCGTAAAAGGCGACTATGCTTGTCGTAAGAGGCGACTATGCTTGTCGTAAGAGGCGACTAACGGGATCGGGTGGTCAGGCTCGCTGACTTGGTTGATGCATGTCATCGTATCCCAATTGCGTGGATCGATGCTCATGATATTATTCACTGGGTTGTCTTGTCCAGACTCGATTATTTACAGACCGCCGTCATATAGCTGGAATATTGCTGACCGCGGCGTTAAGTAAGTAAGTAAGTAAGTAAGTAAGTAAGACATTACAAAATGTAAATTTGCCGCGGATTGCTCCCTTATCGCCTACGTTTCAATACTCCTACAAGGTTTTATTGCCGCATCATATAAAGCATACGTGTACACTGTTATCCGTGAATTAAATGCTTAACAGGTGTCATGGCAACAAGTCCATCCATTCTTCCAATAAAGGGTCGAGTTTAAATGTGTACCATTTTGCGTTTGTTTGTATTGTAGCTGGAAAAAAATAGAAAATGTGCTTCACACAAAACTTTTATTTTCACTGATGCAGTTCTACTGCCCTCCTCAATTTTTAGAACATTTGCCGGAGAAACAAAACAAAAAATTTCAGTAAGAGATGTGTCATATTATCATGACAATTATAAGTGTCTTTTGTCAGAAGTGGGTGAGTTCTTTCGCGAATACTTGGGGTTTGTCATCATTTTAGTGATCTATCCATATAATCTTCATCAACATTTTGCCTCTTACGCCCATGTTTCGGCAGACACTTGAGACTGAATATTCTCTTGCTTTGAATTTGCTGTATAACTTTGAGGGCAGTTACCGAAGTTTGAAAATCTAACTCCAAGGACTGAAACACGGTTAATAGCAAATCACAATTCGATGTCTCTCGTGTTATAGGTCATTTGGCTCCTCATGTCTAAGACCCCGCATGGATACAGTTTGTGAAGCCCATTTATCGTGTCCCCCGCCGTTATATTGCTGGAATATTGCTAAAAGCGGCGTAAAACAACATTCATTCACTCACTCACTACATGTCAATTGTTATCCCCCTGGGATATAATGTGGGGGGATATAATCATCATCTGGTCTGTCTGTCCGTCCGTCCGACTGTGCGTCAGAATTCCGTTTCCGGAGCATAACTTGAAAACCGTGAACAAAATTTCATCCAAATTTGGTACATGTATGAACGAGAGGCTGCCTTTTGCTATTGAGGGGGCCGGGGCGATTTGTCCTCTTCTGATGACTCTTGGTAAATGTATATACATAATTCGGTATGTACCCCATTGGTGCTATATTCTCCCACCAGAAAAATGTTTTCCCCAAAGCCCATTTGAGTATGTATTCTGGTGTGGTTTAGTCCAACTCGAACTTTATGTGTCGGGAGACCTTTAAAGGTACAAAAATACATTTTCATAACAAAACAAACTGCCCAAAACACACTCCACTCAACGATTCCGACTTTATAACAAGCATGTGTTCGTGAACCACTATTAATAGTTCGTGACTATATAGTCATGATACAAGGTGTTTGTGAAAAGATCAACGAATACCGTCGCAACCGGTGGCAGCCGTTACAAACACACGCAAAGGAAAGTCAATTGTTCACCTGAAAAATACACAGGATCATATGGAGCACGTCAAAACACGGAATTGCATCGGACTTCATCCTGTCACTGATGCGTCAGGTTGGAAATGTCCTCCACAAATTTACCACAAATACTTTTGAAACCTTTGTTGAAGCCTGGAATGTTGTAACCTTGATCAAACAACATTTTAGAAAGAGTGATATGCCTCTCTTTTGAAATCTTCGTAGGAAGAGCATGGTCGATAAATACCTCAACAGTTGTGAAATATAGACACCAAAGACTGGAGCCGCTTGAATATTGCTCGACATGATGGGAAAGTTGACTTGTAACCTTGATCAAACAATATTTAGAAAGAGTGATATGCCTCTCTTTTGAAATCTTCGTAGGAAGAGCATGGTCGATAAATACCTCAACAGTTGTGAAATATAGACACCAAAGACTGGAGCCGCTTGAATATTGCTCGACATGATGGGAAAGTTGACTTGTTGTAACCTTGATCAACAACATTTTAGAAAGAGTCGTATGCCTCTCTTTTGAAATCTTCGTAAAAAGAGATTATACCTCAAAAGTTGTGAAATATAGACACCAAAGACTGGAGCCGCTTGAATATTGCTCGACATGAAGGGAAAGTTGACTTCTTGTAACCTTGATCAAACAACATTTTAGAAAGAGTGATATGCCTCTTTTTGAAATCTTCGTAGGAAGAGCATGGTCGATAAATACCTCAACAGTTGTGAAATATAGACACCAAAGACTGGAGCCGCTTGAATATTGCTCGACATGATGGGAAAGTTGACTTGTTGTAACCTTGATCAAACAACATTTTAGAAAGAGTCGTATGCCTCTCTTTTGAAATCTTCGTAAAAAGAGATTATACCTCAAAAGTTGTGAAATATAGACACCAAAGACTGGAGCCGCTTGAATATTGCTCGACATGAAGGGAAAGTTGACTTGTTGTAACCTTGATCAAACAACATTTTAGAAAGAGTGATATGCCTCTTTTTGAAATCTTCGTAGGAAGAGCATGGTCGATAACACTGCAAACACGAAAACGTCGTTTTTTTCCGTATATGGTCATTGGACGGAAAAACGACGTTATTTGGACGTTTTCAAACCATCGTTTTTCCGTCCAAATAACGTCGTTATTTGACATCGGAATTTACTGGGAGAGAACGATAGCGTTAAGCTCCTCCCTTTCTTGATTGACATTGTCAATCAAGCAACAGCGTCTACCGGTATTTCTACTTCTCGGTTTTCATTGGTCAGTCCCCGCGTGTTAGATTACAGGCCCGCGTTTGACGCAGCAC